ACTTTTTTAATGCCATTTTCTAATATCTAATAATCTATTTTCCAGATTAATCTGTAGACTGCTGATAATCATTCTTCGATTATTGTATCTTCGTAGTTCAGATGGCATCCCGGTGTTGTATACAGGAGTACATTATACTAAATCATTCTTAGAAGGAAGTGTTATACTGGTTTTTCCTTTGGGTGTGTTAAAGAATAGAGCAAAGCAACAGCACAGACCCATTCACCTGACCTGTGTGAGTTATTGGTAAACCAGTCTGACCAGTTCCAACATAGTCGAAAGCTTACTGTACGTAATAGCCAGAGATGGAATGTCTTTATCGTATCCACAAACATACAAAGCGTAATGTCATATGACGCGTATGTCATATGATAGAAAGTATGATTTCAGTGCTTTCAGGAAGCATAGCGGTGGTATATGTCATTGTATCATGATACAATAAAAATTAAAAGAAACTTTGCTAATGGTCAAATTGTTACAGATAGAGGTTACCTTTGTTAAGATTAGAAGTAGATATGTTTATTGTGAATAAACATGCTTACTATCAGTAACCTTAAAAAAAACATTACCCAATCACTACATTTTCATAAGCTTTAACTCTTTGTCCCTGTCATCCAATTTTTCTCCCACATTTGTCACTTTGTCATGCTCTCTTAATAGAGGCTACAACCACACATTTCACAGACAATGTTCACTGTTGTCCCCATTAAGAAAACTACTATAACCATAGCCATCAATGAAATGCATGCAGACAGGAATTGGTTGTAGTACTGATATGTAACAAAAAAAAAAAAGAGTGAACTTAGTATTTTATTAAAGCTCAGCTATGGGATTGTAAAAAAAAAAAAATACCCTTACATACTCCTTTTCTCTAGGGGTATCGAAAAAGGCGGTATTACTCCTACCAGCTTCAGCACTGTCCTCTTCTCCCTGACACTCCAGGCGGTGGGAGGCCCCCAGCATCATCACATACAATGTAGGGCTATTAACTTTGCATTGTATATAGAAGAGGAAAGCATGCAGCTGCGGCTGAGATCACCTTAGGGAAGCTGCAGCCCTGAATCAGGTCTCATGCATTGAGGAAGCATTCTGGAGCCAAGTATGAGATAAGTATTATTCCTTTTTCCTGTACCCCCTAGAAGTATTGAGCATTTAACTGTTGAAGTCTGGGGACCCCCACTGCAAGGGTATTTTTTTTTCAAGCCCAGAGTTAATTTACATCTGTGCAGTGAATTAACACACAGTAACAGATTAAAATTTATTGCAGTAAGAGAGCCTATTCATTTTAATGAGCTGCCAACCCAGTGCAGCATGGGAAAATTCAGCCATTACTTTTTTTGTAAAGCAATGTATGGCAATGCACTTCAGTGCATTGCTGCACTCTACAAAGCATGTGCATTGGGGTGCCATTCATAATTATGTTAAATGCGATACCACAATGTAGATATGTAAATCCTGTCTAAACAAATCATGAAAAAATGGCAATGCTTTCTGATACATAGTGCTTTAGCAAACTAAATGTCATTCAGTTAGGGTCTAGTTTAATAGTACAATGGATGTTTTTCTTTACATACAGCTTTTCTATGAACCACTTTTCCTCCGCACCATAGCAGAAGTACTGGTACAGGGCAGCAGGGCTGCGCAAAATCACACACACACACACACATATATACATACATGATTTTCATTTCTGAATAGGGGGCGCGCACACAAGCACCACCCTGCCTGCGCCGGTATTGGCGGCTAGGGATGTCAATCTCCGGGTCCCGGCCGGCAAGTCCTGGCTGGCATTTGGCAATCGTCAGGTAAAGCTGACAGGGGAGAGACCTAAACAACACAGGTCTCTCTCCTGTCTCTGCACAGAAGAGGAATAAAAACAGCATGTATCCCGAGTAAAACAGAGCACACAGCAAAAAAACACACATAGCACACAGTTAACCTTTTGATGGGCCAAGATATTAACCCCTTCCTGCCCAGTGTCATTTGCGTCATTTGTGTCATAGCAGGGTCATACAAAACAGCATGCCTTCTGAGTAAAACACACACAACACACAGTAAAGCACACACAGCAAACAGTAAACCCTTTGATCACGCCAGATGTTAACCTCTTCCTGCCCAGTGTCATTAGTACAGTGTCAGTGCTTTTTATTAGCACTGATCACTGTATTAGTGTCACTGGGGATGTCAGTGGCAGTTAGTCAGTTCCCACCCAGTGTCAGAATGCCCGCCCAGTCCCGCTATATGTCGCTGATGGCCGCAATTACTAGTATATTAAAAAAAAATTCCAGTATATATACCGCCATTTGTAGAAGCTATGATTTTCATGTAAACCAAATAATTTACACGTACTGGAATTTTTTTTTTTTAGCAAAAACGTAGCAGAATGCATTTTTGGCCTACGTTTATGAAAAAATTTGATTTTTTACATTTTTTTATTGGATATGTTTTATAGAAAAAAAAATGTCAAGAATATTGTTTTTGTTTTCAAAATTGATGGTCTTTTTTTGTTTATAGCGCAAAAAAAAAAAAAAAAACGCAGAGGTGATTAAATACCACAGGAAGAAAGCTCTATTTGTGGGGAAAAAAAGGATAGAAATGTAATTTATTTATAGCCTTGCATGACTGTGCAATTGTCAGTTAAAGTAATGCAGCGCCATATCACAAAAAATGGCCTGGTCAAGAAGGGGGGGGGGGGTAAATCCTCTCGAAGGCATTACTTTTGCTTATATATAGTAGCTTCTGGTTGTCTGTGAAAAAAACCTAGATCCTTAGAGAATCCTTTTTTCACATGCATATTTTTCAAATGAAGATTCCTTGCATAGCGACACAAAAATACTGGCGTATGTCTACTTTATTAGCAAATAACTTTACTTACAAAGAACTAACATTTTCAATTCCTGCCTGTTCTACCTGAAACGTTATCTCTATATACAGTCAGACTGTCACATGATTGCCCCAAAATTCTCTGTATTGTGTGAGAAATTCACTCCACCATGGGCTGAATAATTCTACATTCTCTGCAGAATATGGTATTTATGTTATAAGACTAAAAACAACACTGTAAGAAGAAAAAAATTGCAAAAAAAAACTAACAAAATCATTATAAACTTTATAGTTAAAAAAAATGTATGATTGGACGTACATTGTAAAATCATTTGCGTGTCACATTATATTGCAACATCACACTACAGAAGACAGAAATATACAAAGCTCTTTTATTTTTATGCCCTTAGTTGATTTGAAACAACAGGAGGGTACTTACCAGACAAACTATTAGGTTAGGTAAATATGTACAAAGCTTTAGTGATGACATCAATATTGCACTTCTGTTTATTTTATGGATAATCCAAGATAAGTCTGATGTTGAATATTTAAGTGTTTAATTATCCACTGGCTACTTATAGTTCTCAGGAACTATGATGGTAAGATCCCCATAATAAAGATCAGTACTTTCTACTCCTGCTGCTACAAAATGGGTGTTCGTTCTGCTCCTGTTGCTTTCTTCATAGTATATTAAAATTATTCTTATAGAGTTGGATTCCTTTCTTATTGGCTGTGATAGCTGTGCAGGAATGTGTGGGTTACATGAGAGGCCTATCCTGGGGTGGGTTCTTCTAGGCTATGCTAGGCACTTGGAGCATGGTCACTGCCTTACACATGAGGTACTTTTGCTTTCTGTTGTTCCTCATGCACACTGAAACCTCTAAACTGTTCTCCAGTTAACTTTCTTGTTCCCATGTACACCTTCACTGCAAGTTGTTGCATTTAGGAGGGGCACAGCGTGCCTATGCTCACTCCACCTGTCCAGAGTATCCCCACTACCTCACTCACAGTAGCAGAATAGAACCCTGCTGTGCAATTAGAGTGGCTCCTTGTGTGCACTCGCTTGTGTGCCTCCCCAACGTACCTGTATAGGTATAGTCCATTCATGGCATAGTCCATGGTTGGCAGAATCTAGCAGCTGTTATCTTCAGGGCAGACTAGCAGTCCCCATACATTGTGAAAGGCTTCGGAAGGTAGGCCACCTTGGACTCTGGCATTGGTGGTGACATGTAGTTCATGGGCCAGGAACTCTGGAGTCCAGAACTCTCACAGTGTAGGACTCAGATACCCCTCGACTACTGCTCTGCAATGCTTCTCCCTACCGCAGACCACTGTCCCCTTTTATAGGCACAGGGACCAGTGTGTTGGCCCCAAGAAAGCCCACCAAAAAAACCCCCAGGAAATTATATTAACCCTAACCCTCCCGTCTAGGGCAGCACCTACTTAGGCTACCATAAGCATCTTTCTTACAGGTATCTTGCCACCAGTGTCCTAAAAGATGCAGAATCCTGCTCTAGACTGGATAAGATTTATTTTTGGTTCTGCTGTACCCAGCTTAGCAGCAATTGTTTTTCCAGGTCTGGTCAGGTTTCCCTAAGTCTTGTGGTTGATTACTCCGGCCTGCCTCTGGGAAAAGCTTCCAGAAATAAAGTAGGAGGGTCAGCCACTGGGTTATGAATATTTATCCGACCTCAGCCAATCCCTGAGAGGTAGGACCAGAAGGTGTAGCTGGGGAGAAAATGAATGTTTGGGAGAGTCTGTTCAAGGGTCTCTCTTCTGGGGCCTTTGCCCCTGGGAGGCAGCCTGTATTACTAAAGAGCTGTTGTTATCAGCAGTGGTGTATTTTGGTTTTGTGCTGCCCTAGGCAAGACTAAATTCGAGCAATCCCCACATCTAAATTTTTCCCACCCCTTCCTGTTTAAGATCCACCCCTTCATCTGTAAACCCCACCCCTTCATATTTAGGCTCCACCTCTTCCTATTAGAGCTCCACGCACTGACAACAACGATGGGGCACCATTCCTCTTACTGACACCAATGATGGGGCACTATTCCTCCCACTGACACCATCGATGGAGTACTATTCCTCCCACTTATACCAATGATGGGGCATTATTCATCCCACTGAGACCAACGATGGAGTACTATTCCTCCCACACTGGCACTAATGATGGGGCACTATTCCTCCCACTGACACCAATGACGGGGCACTATTCCTCCCACTCACACCAATGATGGGGCACTATTCTTCCCACTGACACCAACAATGATGCCCCATCATTGGTATCAGTGGGAGGAATAGTGCCCCGTCATTAGTGTCAGTAGGAGGAATAGTGCCCCGTCATTAGTGTCAGTGGAAGGAATAGTGCCCCATCGTTGGTGTCAGTGTGGAAGTAATAGTACCCATCGTTGGTGTCAGTGTAGAAGTAATAGTACCCCATCGTTGGTGTCAGTGGGAGGAATAGTGTCCCATCATTAGTGTCAGTGGGAGGAATAGTGCCCCAATATTGGTGTCAGTGGGAGGAATAGTGCCCCGTCATTGTTGTCAGTAGGAGGAATAGTGCCCCGTCATTAGTGTCAGTGTGGGAGGAACAGTGCCCAGTCATTGGTGTCTGTTGGGGGGGGGGGATAGTGCCACCTCATTGGTGTAAGTGGGAGGAATAGTGCCCCATCATTGTGTCAGTGGGAGGAATAGTGCTTCATCATTGGTGTCAGTGGGAGGAATAGTGTCCCATCGTTGGTGTCAGTGGTGGGAGGAATAGTGCCCTATCGTTGGTGTCAGTGGGGGGGGGAATAGTGCCCCATCGTTGGTGTCCCTGGGGGGAGGAATAGTGCCCCATCGTTGGTGTCAGTGGGGGGAGGAATAGTGCCCCATCGTTGGTGTCAGTGGGGGGAGGAATAGTGCCCCATCGTTGGTGTCAGTGGGGGGAGGAATAGTGCCCCATCGTTGGTGTCAGTGGGGGGAGGAATAGTGCCCCATCGTTAGTGTCAGTGGGTGGAGGAATAGTGCCCCATCGTTGGTGTCAGTGGGGGGAGGAATACTGCCCCATCATTGGTGTCAGTGGGGGGGAAATAGTGCCCCATCATTGGTGTCAGTGAAGAGGAATAGTGCCCCATCATTGGTGTCAGTGGGAGGAATAGTGCCCATTATAGGTGTCAGTGGGAGGAATAGTGCTTCATCATTGGTGTCAGTGGGAGGAATAGTGTCCCATCGTTGGTGTCAGTGGTGGGAGGAATAGTGCCCTATCGTTGGTGTCAGTGGGGGGGGGGAATAGTGCCCCATCGTTGGTGTCCCTGGGGGGAGGAATAGTGCCCCATCGTTGGTGTCAGTGGGGGGGAGGAATAGTGCCCCATCGTTGGTGTCAGTGGGGGGAGGAATAGTGCCCCATCGTTAGTGTCAGTGGGTGGAGGAATAATGCCCCATCGTTGGTGTCAGTGGGGGGAGGAATACTGCCCCATCGTTGGTGTCAGTGGGGGGGAAATAGTGCCCCATCATTGGTGTCAGTGAAGAGGAATAGTGCCCCATCATTGGTGTCAGTGGGAGGAATAGTGCCCATTATAGGTGTCAGTGGGAGGAATAGTGCCCCATCATTGGTATTAGTGACACCAATGATGGGGCACTATTCCTCCCACTGACACCATTGATACTTACCTTGCTGACCCCTGCTCCAGCCTGGTGCAGCAGCACCATCTGAACAGCACAGACACTTGCCAATCAGCTGTCTTCCTTCTCCGGCCGCTCTCCTCCTCTTCACTCGCTCCAGCTCGATCTTCTTTGATCTTCATGCTGCAGCTCGGCTCCTCCTCTCCAAGCTCCGCCTCCTCGCCGGCAATTGGCCGCATGTGTGCCTTTCCTGAGCTACAGTTCCGGCTGCCAATCACCGACAAGGAGGCAGAGCTTGCAGAGGGAGGGACAAGCTGCCATAGGCTGTTGAGTGATCTGGGGGTGTGGCCAGATGACGGGCGGCATGTCATCCCACCCACACATCACGATCCAGGGAAATTAAGACACTGGATCTGCTGACCGGAGAACCTCTCTACCCCTCCTCCAGCAGCGCCTCGTGGACCGAATCGGCGGGGGACTGGGACACTGAGTCACAGACTCAGGTAAGTAACAGCAGCCCGCCCCTGTACTAAGTGTCCCTTCCGTGGGAAAGGAGGTGGCCGTTGGTGCCGCCCCCCTAAAAAGTGCCGCCCTAGGCAAACGCCTTGTTTGCCTCGCGGCAAATACGGCCCTGGTTATCAGGCCTCAGCATGTGCTTGGCTGAGGGTCTGAATGAGCCTTGATTGAGGAGAATTTGCTGGAGGGCAGTACCTTAGGAAGCTAGGCTGGAGAAGGATCCCTTTCACTGAAGTATGTTGCAGGGAAGCTGGTTGGAGAGCTGTCTCTATGAGTAAGACCTTTAACCTAAAACTCCAGGGGTGCTTGTGCTTTGAGGGTAAATTGTCAGGGGTTGCTACAAGGACTGTGACTGCTCTTACAGCTTCTCAGGCAATACGTAAGGTAGCTAGTGAGGGACTTTGCTTGAGAATCTGTTCTTTAATTCTTACACGTGCTTTGGAGTATCTTACATCCCTCTACCGGCCTGTATTCAAGTACTGCAATAAATCTTCAAAAAGACACACCTAGATTAAGCCTGAATTTTGTCAGTGTGCTCTGGAACTGGTACCTGGGCTGGCAGCCTCTGAGCAGGTAAGGGAGGCCTGCTTTATTTCCAGTGGACAGTCTTGTGGTAAACGCTACAGAGATAACCAAAGCTAGGTAGGAATTTGAGGTATAACTAAAGAAAAAAAATTTTGTTTAGTTTTGCGTAGTGTATAGAGGAATTAGAACACCTGTTTTTACTGCTGCTTGTGCCCATGTCAGAAAGATTAATGATATTTGTCATATTTACCGTTATCACAAAAAGTGAAAGTAAAAGAAAATCCTAGATTTTGGACTGTCCTCAGAACAGTAATAGAAGGGAAATTTTCCAGTGGAGACACAAATTGTAATGTCTCTGGTGGCAATCAGGGATTCCCTCACTTTGGAGGGCTTACCTCTTAGTTCCTGTTTTGGCTGTGGGACAGGAAGTAAAGGGAAATTTCCCCAAAGGGACACAGATGGCAAAAAAACCTGAAAGGGGTTAAAATCCTCCCTTACTCTATCAAAAATGAAAAAAATGTTTGTCTTTAGTTCTACTTTAAATCACTAGCAACTTCTTAAAACTAAAAAAAAAAGGCATAAACTGAAGGGAAATGTATGTCTTTTAGGTCTGTCATTTTGTTTTTCCCCACTCCATTTTATATTCCATGTTGATTAATTGTTTTGTATTATAACCAGAATGAGTTAATGAAAATATGCTATGTCAGTTATGTGTTACAGAACTATACTCACAATATTCTTCTATCTCTTATCTTAGCTTAGCCTTGGTAGAGACGGTGAAAGTATCCAACTATTTCTTTGTATTAACAAGCACCTGTTTCTGTTATGATACAATTAAATGTCAAATATTTCTGTCCCATGAGAAAATAATTGTTTGTTACTTATAACTGATTACAATGCCTGAGAAAGATCATGTTCACAGCCTTGACAAGTATCTAGCCAGATTCTATTGTATGTAGCAGATAAGTTTTTTTGTAATATTATAGACACATTCCTTATTCCTGGGAAAGTTAAATTTTGCTTCTCATCATTATTCAGGATTGACGTAAATGCTTGTATTTGTATTCAGCCAATCAATTACTGAGAATTAAGTTTTTCCCAGATACTCTGTGCCCCCCACCTTTCTTTTTTGTTATATTAATCCTCTTCCCGCTAATAAAAAATGTAGATTAATTTCACCTATCAGTGTGTGCACTTGTCTATTACTTAGGTGAAGTTAGTCTTCTGGACGTCCATACCTTCAAACAGACTGATCAAGACAGATAGCCAGGGGCTAGCGACAACCTTTCATAAACGGTCATCAAATTACACTTGGCTTTTTGTCATTAAGAAGGTATTTGTTATAATTGTAACACCCTCCAGGTTAGTTAGATTTTTAGTTTTTTTTTACAGAGGCTGAATAGCATCTTGGGGATGAGTCATCCTGGGAAATGAAGTAGTGAGGTTACCTCAGGACAGGCTGGGAGGCTCAAACAGGTCAGAGTTTCTGGAGCCCTCCCACCTCTTCAGAAACCTTAGAGCTTTCTGGGGGAGGCCTAGATCTGCATGTTTAAGGGACCTTGGCCAATCCCCTGGCAGGAGACTGGGCATGGTGACCAGGGCAACCCTCAAATGTGGCAGAGCCTGGGGGAGAGGTGTGCAGTTTTGGGTGGAAGATGGAGTGAGGAAGGCTGGAGTTTGGAGCATGGGAGAGGACCCCAGTAAAGGGGCCTACCTAGAGGCCATTGCAGGGAAAGAGGAGCTCCATTGTGCCACCTTTGGGAGGACATCCTGAGCAGCAGGGAAGGAGCCAGCACAGCGAAAGGCCTGAAGGCAGTCACCAACCCTCTAAACTAACAGGAAAGGACAGTGTGAGTACTCTTACACCCCCTGGGCTGGATAAGGGGAGAGGGCAGTCAGGTGAAAGACACAACTAGCTCCTTATCTGGGACTGCTTGTACTTAATTGGCAGCTTCTTGGGCCCCCTTGCCCAGGGAATACCCTCAGTGCATCAGTGGGAAGAGGAGTAATCATCTATTGTCTGAGGAGGTACACTAGAAAGAGTCTTTGGAGTCCTCCAGGGAAAGGAACTGTTGCTATCCACATTTTTGTACATAATTGCTAAGGAGTTTGTTCTCGTGTTTTGCCGTTCCTAAGGCATGCCATATACCCCTAGACCCCATCCAACCAAGCTCAAAGACTGTTCTTTGACTCCAGTGCACAAGGTGTGGAAAATGCATGTTGCCTGGCCGTGCAGAGCATAGGGGGACCAAAAACTCAGCGACTCCTAAGGGGCTAGTGCTACATTAAAACGGAACTCCAGGCAGATGTAAAATACACATTCATCATTAAATGAGAGCAGTGTACCTGAATTTGCCCTGGTGTCAGCCTCTTGAAACAGGATTCAGACTCGGAGGAGTTAAAGCTGCACAAGAAACCAATCAGATGTGTTGCAGTTCAAGGAGTACGCTGATATAAGGAGACAGCAGAGTGGCTGAGCGATAAACTCCCTAGTGTGCTATTTAATTTGTTACTGCATGTGCCAGAGCTGTGTAAATCTCAGGAATGGATGCCGAGAACTACAGATCCTTTGGCAGGTAAAACCACTCTCATATGTATGTCGTCAGCTTTAAAGGTGCTGATCGGATCTCCAGATTCAGATGTGTATCAGCTGCTTTCTGTAGTCAGGCTTTGCAAGAACTGATAATATGCAAATCTGCTACACCAGGAGTCTGCAGCACAAAACTATTTCTGCACCCCCAAGAAATAACTAAGACTCTTACCACCAGCACAAGGGAATCTTTCCTCATAACTGATAGATATAGATAAGCTTCTTGTAGCCTCCAGTTACTAAGCCTCTCAATGCCTATTCCAATGTATAGACACCTCATTACTAGTCTGCAATGACCTCATTAGTTTAAGCATGATTGTGTCATCCCATGGCACAGCTTTGAATACCTGTGTACTATAATTTGCTCACTGTGTAAGTTTTAGGCAATACTGGGTCACATAATGATGTGGGGGGTTATTATAATATTGCTTGTGGGGTTACAGATCATTATGCTATTTTGAGATTATGCTAATTGATGAAAGATTATAAAGATAGATTGGCAATGGGGAGTGGTTATATGTTGGGTTACATACCTGGAAAGACGGTTATATATTGAAAGTGTAACTGTGGATTATTATGGAGCCTGGAAGATTATGCCATGAAGGATCAAAACTGTGGCTACGGCAGTACAGATTGCAATGCTGGTAAAACTGTAAATTAGAAACCTATTTGGTAGATAATAAAAGCTGAAAAAATATAAAATCATTCTGCTGGCCTGGTAAAAGATAATCTTTTTTTGACTGCTGGCTAAGATATGATTGTGGTAGATATAGTTGCAGGAAGTAGGTTTGAGTTGCAGGGAGATATTGTGCACTTGGAAAACAATGGACTTTTTTAGAGTCAAGGTTTTCATAAGGGGTCATGATGATGCTAGGTGGTTTTTACAACATGCTGCCTGGAAACAACTACAGTTGCAATAAAAAGCATGTGAACCCCTTGGGATTCCGTGGAGTTTTGCATGAATTGGGCATAAAATGTGCTCTGAACGTCATCTAAGTCACAACAATAGAAGAACATAGTCTGCTGAACATAATACTACACAAACATTAGATGTTGCCATGGTTTAATTGCACATAACATGTAAACATTCACAGTGCAGGGAGGAAAAAGTATGTGAACCTTTGGACTTAATAACTGGTTGACCCTCCTTTGGCAGCAATAACCTCAACCAAACGTTTCCTGTAGTTGCAGATCAGACCTGCACAACGATAGTGTTGTGTGTTCTTCCCAAACAACTCAATCTTGGTTTCATCTGTCCACAGTATATTTTGCCAGTAGTGCTGTGGAACATCCAGGTGCTCTTTTGCAAACTTCAAACGTGCTGCAATATTCTTTTTGGACAGCAATGGCTTCCTCCATGGTGTCCTCCCATGTACTCCATTCTTGTTTAATGTTTTCCTTATTGTAGATGTGTCAACAAAAATGTTAGCATGTGCCAGAGATTTCTGTAGGTGTCAGGGCCTGGACTTGAACCTCGGACTTCTACTGTGTCAGGCAGTAACTCTTCTCACTGAGCTACCTGGGATGCTGGACAACACTCTGCCTCTTCTATTGGATAATCCTGCCTTGTGCCTTGTTTGCTCTTGAACCTTGAACTCCTTGCTCCTCCCATGAACTTCCTATATAAGCCATGTCCTTGGACTTCCTCCTTGCCAGATTATTGTGCCTTTCCAGCCAATATCCCGCTACTGTTCCTGCTGCTGTCTACTCCTCCGCTACTGATCTTTGGCTTGTTCCT